GCTGATGGATAATTATTTAATACTAGAGAGGTAAACCTTTTTTAGGCATTGTCTGAAAGTTTTTAGATTTTAAAAGTTGATAAATAAAGGGCGCTTCATGTAGAGATGTAAGTTTTTTACGAAGCGATTTTCAATGAAATTTTAAGTACATCTTCACATATTATTTATGTATTAATAAAATGTAGCATGATTTTAAGAGGTCAAGGAGAATATCAGAATATATAGTCACAGATGAATCATATTCGAATGTCTTGCCTGTTGTTTGACAGTGATGTTAAAGCACAATCCTGAATTTACTAGTTTCATCAATAAAACACATCTTGGTAGTCTCTGGAAGTCTAACATAATTAATCAGTCAGCAGGGAATGTAAAATTAACCTAAAAAGCAAATAATAATCGATACCCGTTACATGAAAGGTGGTTCTGGCGGCCTTCGAGAATAATTCTTTGGTGTTTGAAACTATGTCGTGTGTAGGGTCCGAGTCCCGGTGAGAATATCACCAATCACCGGGAGTGGGCCCACACATCCAGTTGACTAATTGCGTATCCTGGATTCCATAGCTGGTCATCACCATCAACTGAAATGTAAGTGTTTGAATAATGTATTTGACTAATGGTAATAACGGATGTGAACAGAATTCACCAGTTTGTTTCTCTCTCTCTCTCTCTCCCTCTTTCAATATCTACTGCAATCGATTCATATGCAGCTGGTGATACGAGAGTAGTAATAGTAGTAGTCATAATTAACACATTATTGTCATTATTACTGTCTATGATGCAAAAATAACCTTGAAAACGAGTGAGCGAGAGAGAGATAGAGTGAAAAAACTATTTCAACAATGTCTGATCACTTATCGATCATCTTATATCATTTGAAAATCTATACCTAATTACATTTCAGATATGTATTATATATATATATATATATATATATATATATATATATATAATTAGGAATGGATGTTACGTGTGAAGAAAATCAATATCGATATAAACAACACACACACGCATACATGAATGTATTGAAATACAGACATGGGTATGTATATATATGCACTATTATACAATATTTTGTACGGATTAGAAATAATTGATTTTTCTCACTTTGCATGTTCATGTGTGTGTGTGTGTGTGTCAATGAATGAATGCTATAACTTTAATTAAAGAATAAAACTCATTCACAATATAACCAAAGTATATTATCACTGAATATATATATATATATGTGAGCAAAGACATATTTTCAGAGAAAAACATATTTCCAGGTTATTCTTTGATTAGAGAAAATAATAATTGGATACCTAAAATCGGTTTCAACAACAAAAGCTATGACAAGTTGAAAATTTATCGCTGTGTTTACTGTGTTATAAAGTCACACACGTATATATGAGATTGAGTGATTTCGATTGATTGAGTGATTGATAGCATCGGTAGGATGAGTGATTTGTGCGTGTGTGTGTGTGTGCGAGAGAGAGAGCAAGAGATATTTAGGAATAATATTTTTTCATACAATTCTTCCTCATCAGCAAAGATGAAAGAAGTAAGAACGAAAAGAAGTGGTACCAGGAATCGAGTCAACATCTTTAGTATGGTCACCCACCACCAGGTGAATCAGTGACGACTATCATATGTCTGGCATGTCGTGATATGTCTATCCTACCATCTTATACTCTGTTAGATGAAATAGCCTTTTTTAAGTCAGCGTGATCTCAGGTTCATATCCCATCTGAGTGACTATGTGCGTCGGTGGTTGCAAGCCACTCACATAGTTCTGGTTTGTCTCCCGACAGATGCATTCTTTAAGCCTTGTCTAGTCGGTTGTAGATCCTGTAAAGAGGGAGAAGACTGGATGTGGAACTAGAGAACTCCCTTGTGTAAATAAAAAAAAACACTACTTTACTACAAAAGCTCGAGTTTCCACTCAAAATTCAAAAGAATAAGAAAAAGTCAGAAAATATATTATGCTTTCCCATTGCTACAAAAAAGTTGAAATCACGGACTGATATCAGTTAGAGAACCACTGAAAATCGACGAGTACTGGAAAGTCGTTGTTTCGCTCCAGTTTGGGACTCACCGACAGTACTCACCCACTGGAGTTTCACACCTAGAAACTTCCTGCTGCAAGGCAAGTTTATAGACCGTTCGACCCCTGGGACCCAACTCAGTGGTCCATCAATTATAACTTTCTACCAATTCGTGATTTTAGCGCAACCACCCGACAATGTCATCGGGGAGTATTTGTTCTCACTGTCAATCAAAAGGACCTCGCTGGTCACAACTTCTCACCGGGACTCCAGGCAACTCCATCCTGTTGTCAGTCACTAGCCTTTGAGTCAACTTCCAATAGCTGATTGCTCTACGAGCTTGTTTTGTAACCGGAAGGTCCTGGGTTCGAACCCTGGTGATGGGTGCGTACTATCGATGAGTCGATAACTAGGATGAAGCAGTTGTTCAGTACACCCCACTGGTTTTCAGTGGTTCTCAAACTGATATCAATCCATGATCAAACTCGAAACAAAACAAAATCTCCACAAACACACTCATCAAAAGTTGAAATCGTTTGGATACTTTTATTTTTGAGTCATTTGAAGTTTGAAGCTTGAGATTCTCAGTCTCTAACATGGACTGTGTAAAGATGTAGTTCATTTAGCTTAAGGAATGAACTTTCAGTCAGTCAGTGTGTCTCACAACCGCACATAAGACCTCATCTAATTTAGTCTCGGGGAACTTGAGTAATATCATAAGCCCTAACACAATAGGTATGGCTGATAGCCTGATCCTATTTGAGATTACTCTAGACAACTCAAGATTTAACAGCATGAACTGCATAAACTGAGATCACAGGTGAGGATGTTCATATTTAAAATTGATAACAATCTTAGTGAATACAAAGTTGAACTTTCTTAATCAGACGGTAAATCCAACTGTGTGCAGTATTCATTTCAAGGTATTTTTTCAATAGTCAAAAATGTTGACAAAAAGATGGAGTACAGATGGCCTTTCGAATCGGTTCATTACTCACCGATTAACTTCATGGCGTACATGAAGTCCAGTAGCCTCCAATCGAAGATAGAGAGAGAGAGACATGAATGATATCTTTATCATTGTCGACGAAAATGTTGAACCAAGTAAAATCTTAGAAATTGAAATTAAAGTGGAATCAGAAGCTAAATTTATCCTTCGTCGATATCCAACTTTCAGGATGAAGAAAAGATGGATTTACCACAAGCCGAAATAGAAGGAGCACTGTTAACAAACTTTCACAATTTTCAAGTATTGGTTTGTAGTGATTTGGTTGATTGGTTACAGGATTTCATCATGAGCTGACATCAGTTAGAGAACCATTGGAAAACCAACTGGGAGTATTGGACAGCTGTTTCGTCCTGGTTTGGGACTCTTCAGCAGTACGCAACCACCGGGGTTGGAACCCAGGACCTTCTGGTTACAAGGCGGGTTCGTAGACCATTAGGCAACTGGGACCCGATCCAATGGCCAGTTCATGAATTCTAACTTCTGCCAATTCACGATATAGCACAACCGCTAGCCAATGTCTTCGGCGAGTATTTGTCCTCACACTCGACCTGCTGCATCCCACAATTTTATCCCAACAAGAAGAAATTCTGTTGCCTCTTACAATGAGAATCTAATTCATTTACAATGAGGATATATTGAGTAAGGAATCCTTTAGATACATTCGTAATTAGTAATGAACATCCAACCTTCTTTATCAATAAACATTTAACGTTCCACAAAACCTGGATGTGCTTAAGAAAAAACCAATTTGAAATTCAAAAGGGACACAGTTAGTTAAGTCTCTGAAAGCTGTCTACCAATGGCGATTCGACAAGTGTTCATTCGTGCATTTCTACACCTTACTTTGTTCACACATGTTCCTTTTTTGCCGAGACTGAGAGACAATACTGCACTATTGGTAACTTCTGGGTGCATTTACGAATTCAATTGCTCCTCTCGAGTTAAGTACACAGGCTATACCAGCAAGACATGGTCTGAAAGCAAATGCACGCATAGGTTCATGTGATCTCCATACGATGTTTATGGCTGATTTGTAAAGCTACTCAGGTTGTAGACCAAAATGAGACGATATAGTGTAGAAGTGTTAGAAATCTGTAAAAACAGAAGTGAACTCTACAAATTGTTCACTGGAGTAATCAAGAATCGCACCCAGACCCCCCACGTTACTGATGACCATTCCTATCATAGAAACTCCGATGCACAATAGGCATGAATTCATTTAATGCATTTTAATCAATTTCGAGACAATTGCATACTACTTATTTGTGAACTGTTTTATAAACCCATATGGTCTGCAGTTAAAAAACAAGCAGCTCGACTGATAGAATTCAGTCTGCACCGAAGATAGGACTAGACACACACACACGATCATTACACTAGTTACTGACTAGTGTCCAATCAAAAATATCCAATACAATCCTACAGGAGGTCAGTCGCGAGCCAGCCCGAATAGCTCAGTGGTAACGTCTCTGACTGAAACATCACTGGGTGATGCGAGTTCAAATCTCAGGGGAGTGGGACATGAGTTGTTCCTTCGAGGTTACAAATACGCCTTTCTGATTTGTGAGTACCAACCAGCATGAAATCTAGGTCGAAGGCTTCCTTCGGTCGATTGCCTCCAACCATCTACCATACTAACAGTTAATATCTTCACTGATTGATGTCATTTCATTGTATACATGGAAGAGGAAACTGAAAAGATTCAGATAGTCTCTGTTATCTGAAGAAATGATGATGATTCGTAACTCAGATGGATGGATATACTGGACACGGTTAACTGTCACAATGACTGCATAGTGGTCATAGTAGGCTTGCCTCGTCACGTGAAGGTCACGGTATCGATTTCAGAGAGAGAGAGGGTCGTCGGTGTGTACCGCTGAAGAGAGTCTACACAAATCATAATATGATGGCTTTACTTGAAAATAAACAGACACAATAATAATAATAATACACCAAAATAAACATACCTGAAGGAAGTTTTGTCATTAAAGACAATGGTATATGCGATGGAAGTGAACTATGCACAACAGATAAGATAGATGGTGAAGAGGATAGAATATTCGATGATGAGATGAAAGTATTTTCATAGGAAGAACAATTTGTAAGAATTTTCAATGGCATAAAAGATGATGGATTGACGGTTAGAGGGCTATGGATTCCAGTTGTGGTTAATGTTGCTTTTGGTAGGAGTGCTGCTGCTGTTGCTGGCGGTGGATGTAGATATTGTGATGAACTAGACGTTAGGTAAACAAGATTATCTAACTTTACACAAGGATTGGAAATCATTTGACTATTATTATTATTGGTAGTTATAGTAGTATCTTGTGCATTGGTCAAAGGAGGAACAGTTCCACAATCAATAGACGACTGTTTAGTATTCACAATTTGTATAGTATCAACACCACTGCCATTATTATTACTACTATTATAGGATAGATTTATTAAATGTGAAGATGTTGACGAAGAAGGTGACGACGATGATGATGAAGGATGCAGATTTTGCAGAGTAATTCGATTCACAAGAATATTTTGAAGAGATACTAAAACATTTTGAATATTTGAGAATTGTTGTTTCAGCTGATTAACTTCTTGAAATAATTTATTTTGCTGAATAATAATAAAAGAAGGAAAGAAAGAAAGGAATAAATAACAAGATTTAATTGAATTTTAGATTTTCCCGTCGATTCATTGGACCGAAGTGCTCAGTCTCAGGTTGACATGCTTGTCGGCTTCTTGTGCAGATACTTTGACGATGTCTGGGCATTTAATTAGAAGTTTAATTGGTGGATGGTGACTAGCAGTGGAATCCAGGATAAAGCGCATTTCGTCCTATTTTTGGGACTCGTCAGATAGTGGATGTACCTGCATTCCTCCATGAGTGATGATGTTCCCATGGAGGCTCGAACCCAGTGCCCATAGCTTCAAACGCCATCATCATCATCACTCACTGAGAAATGCAGGTACATCCACTATGTGACGAGTCCAAAATAGGACGAAATGCGCTTTATCCTGGATTCCACCAATCAAATAACAAGATTACTTATTTTTATATCTAGAAAACAACAATAATAATTGATGAATAGAAGTAAAAACGGTGATTGCAACGGAATAATTATTTGGAAAATTTCTCTTGAACAACCTAATATATAAATCACATTATTATTTAAACTCGTTTGGATGTTTCAACTAACTGATGTCAACTCATGATGAAATTCTCCAACCAGATAAACAAAATCAATACTTGTAAATTAATCTGATGCTCACTAGCGACTTGCCCTATTCAGGCAGTTAACCTGGGGTTCTAGTGGGAAGCTATAACCAGTAGGGTACAACAGGTTGAAGATGAGGCAGTAACTCATCGAAGAAGACATTGCTAAGTGGTCGCGGTATGTAGTGAATTGACAAAAGTTGGAATTCATGGACCACTGGATTGGGTCCAAGTGGCTTAGTGGTCTACGACGTCGCTAGCTTTGTAACCAGAAAGTCCTGGGTTTCAACCCTGGTGGTGGGTTCGTACTGCTGAACAGTCCCAAACTAGTTTGACGAAACAGCTGGCTGTCCTGTACTCCCAGGTTTTTCAATGGTTCTCTAATCGACGTCAGAACTCTATATAACCTCTGTATTCCATTCGAACTATTACGTAATACCATCACATTTCCCTTGTTTCTATTTGAATCATGATTACAACTCATTTATCAAATTATTTATCTTGCCAAATAACTCTAACACGTCTTATTCAACTTCTCTTATGTATTGATCAATATCAATAACTATAAGTAATGACAACTCATCACCCTTGTTAGAAATAAAGAAGAATACTGTATATAAATACGATTGTACAGTAAGAGAAAATGAATTCGTTGAAAAAAGCCTCTAAGAAAATTGAACTACTTGTTTTGTTTTTTTCACTAATGCCTAGATGAGGATTATTCATGAAATAAAAATCACAATTTTACCGGTAGAATATGCGATGAGTCATTTTTATAATAATTAAAATATATTATTTATTTTTAATTGAACTTTGATCTTCTCGTTCATTGATTGGACCGAAATATTCACCTTCTGTTAACATGTCGGCACCTTGTGCAGATGCATCGACGATGTTAATCCTTAAGGAGCCGATGTGTCAGCAGAGGCTGAGCATTTCGGTCCACTCGATTAACGGGAAAATCAAAATTGAATTAAGATAAATAACTGACACTCGTTGTACAAGAGGTAGGTAATCTAGCGGATAACGCTTTGGGCGTTTTAAAATTTGGGTACTTGGTTCCAGCTTCAGTGAGAACACCATTACTCACTGGAGATTGTAGATGCGTCCACCTGACAAGCCCCAAGTGGGACGAAATGCACATCCTGGGGCAAAGTTAGACTATTACATCCCACAGGGTGCGAATGCAAAAGTGACTTTGAGCCAACCTATCATAAAATAGGTGATTTTTCCAGAAAAAAAAGTTTATTCACAAGAAAATGCATGAAAACACATTAAACACGGTTTCTTCCTCTGACATGACTTAAAAATACTTCCAGGTTATAATGAGGAGTATCAATTTTTATGGTAGACCAGTTTCTGTACATTTATTCATCAAGGTGACTTAAGGTGAGCTTTTCTCGTGACCCATTTATCACTTTTATCGTGCTCTGAAGTCTTCCCCAAAAGCCCTCGGTTGAATTACTATAGTTCTCGGCAAGAGGATCGGCGACTACTTACTAGGAGAATGTGGATAATAAAACAAATTAAAAAAAATAGTACCAACTCCAAACCTATCCCTAACCTTAATTCTAACCCTTACCCTAACCCTAGTTATAAACATGATTGTAACCCTAACGAGGTATTAACACATTGTTCAAACAGTACTTAAAAACGTGATCTGAATGAAATTTACTCCTTAGTGGGTGAATAGCGTTCATATAAGCACACTATTAATAGTGATAAGTCTCATTCTCCAACAACTAGTATGCATTCAAGGTCACTGGAGCGTTCGCATCCCTGGAACGTGATAGTTTAACTTCGCTCATCCTGGGATTCTAGAGCTAGTCAACATCCACAAAATTAATAAAAACTAAACTGTTTATTTATTTTGCTCCTTTGAGTTCCCAGTGGAGCTACGAAGTTTACCTATTATGGGTGCGGGTTGTTAGCCTAACGCTCGACCTTCCCACTTTGCCAGGTTTACTGCCGGCTAAGAGAGGTATTAAGACTGCGTCAACCGAGAATCGTGCATAGTGAGGGAGTATTCGCTACCACTGCACCGCTGACGTACTTTTATTTATTTAATTTTTTAAAAATCGGAAAAAGGACATTTATATATGCATGCATTACTCACCTGATTCTGTACATCTTTCAACATTTCCACACTTATACACTTCTTTTCACATTGATGTAGACAACATTCTGATGTATTTGTTAATCTAGCTGGCGTTTCATAAGAATTCGTTGCAGGTGAATCACAATCAATATTATGATTATCATTTTCAATAATAGCAGTAGGTACCATAGTTATTCTACGCCTGTCAAGAAAATAAAACAAAGTCATATTGGACATTGAACTATATAATAATAAGGGATTCGGTTGATTTAAAGTTCGACCGGGGACTGACTTCAGTGAGGGGACAACTGTAAATCAGGGAGTACTAAACAGCTGTTTCGTCCTATTTTGGGGGCTCTTCATCAGTATTTCACGCTCATAACCAACCACACTGGTGAACACATTAAAGCACGTTCGGTTCACGCAGCGAACCGGTTGACCATTTAGTCACTGGAATGGAACCCAGTAGCATATGAATTCCAACTTGTGAGAAGGCGTCACCAGTGGAGTTCACCAAGTTGTTTATGAGGACAAACATTCGCCAATGACACCGGCTGGTAGTTGCGCTACATATATAGCAAACCTTCAGAAGTTAAAATTCATGTGTCATTGGATTCTATTGTAGTCCTTGAAAAGTCAACGGGCTCACTTCATTACCTGAAGGCCATACGTACGATACCCGGTGGTGTCATAGGTGTCAATCTAGGATGAAGCAGTTGTTTATTTCTTTCTGGTTTCGAGTGTTTCCCCGACTGAAGTCAGTTCGTGGACACAAATTCAGTGCACATGGCAAAGAAACTATGTGATGTAACCAACCAAACGCTTCTCTTTCTTCCCACAAAAAGACTAATATTGAAAAGGGACTTCACAATTTTGGATAACAGTGACTAGCAATGGAATCCAGGGAGTACATTTCGCTCTATTTTGAACCCATCTGCACTTGCATTCCCAATGACTAAAAGTATCCCCACTGAGACACGAACGAATCCAACATACCAAGGTTAAATAGTAGGAGATGTGAAACCGAGATTTCACTGCCAGTCACCATTCATCAATCAAAAATAACTTTAAGTTAATTCTTAGACATCATTAAAGCATTCATACTAAGAGTCAGTATGTCCAACAGAGATCGAGTGTTTCGATTCAAAATATAATCATCAATCACCGGAAAATGCCAAATTAAAAACCTAATAAAACAACAACAACGAGGTTATTAAAAATTAAGTTGTCCTGTGAAGAATAGCCGATATTTCTCTACAGACTGTTGGACACACATGATTGATTGCCAATTGCATAACAATGTACTTATTACTGGTTAAGGTAGGATTCATAATCATTATTTTTATTATTTTTTTATAACAAAAACCTTTTCAAGGCTATGAGAAATATATTTAACAAAAAAAACACAAATTTATGCCATATACATATACATGTGCGTCGGTGGCACAGTCAGTGGTTAGGACGCTTGGTGACCATTCACATGATCCGGGGTTCGATCGCTGGCCACCAACGCACTCCATTACCTCGCTAAGGCAGTAGTAAAACTGGTGGAATAGAGGAAAGGTTAGGCATGAGGCTAGCAACCTCATCCTGTAAACATAATCACCACTGCTACAGAAACTTCAAGCCTCTAGCTTGAAGCCCTATGTTCCACTGGGAACGTGAAGGAATAAAAAAAGACACATGCATATATATATATATATATATATATATATATATATATATATATATATCATTCATTCTACGCTTAAACAAATGTTAACAGTGTAAAAGAAACGTATTCTATCGGTCAAATTAATATACGTATAGAGCCTAATCATCGCCGTTCTCGACAATGGACCGTGTTAGCTGATATTGGGTCAGGCTGGAAAAGAGCTAGAGGCGGTCAAACAAAAACATGGCCTCACCAGTCAATGAAGTGCACAACAGTTAGTTTAAGTCAGTCATGTAGGGAGGTGTAGACTGGCTTCCTGGTTGGAGTTCTCGGGACGGTAAAAACCAGTGGTTAGAAACTATTGGTGACATGGCTCAAAATCGTTTTCAGTGATGGTGCAGATGCATCCACTCCTTGTGACTTATAACACCCAATGAAACTATATCGTTCTTCGTTGTTACTATTCCTTTGTCTCACCTCTGTTTACTGTCTCTAGTATGCATTTCCTCTATTTTCTTCTCTTGCCTTGTATGGTACATGGAGTGTGGCTACTTGAGCTGGTGCACATCGGTGCAAAGTTCTATATCGAAAACAGACAGACAGACGTATAAATCCTGGGCATTGTGGTAGCATATACAATCCCATGCTAATTTGTTTACTGGACAAACCACACACACAGACAGAGTGAAACAATCTTGTTTACTGGATGACGAAGTTTCGAACATAATTCATTGTTCGTAATCATAACACAACATCAACACTTGATTTTTATAGTTTTCTTTCTTCTTTTCCATTTGTTGTAGGGGTAGTAGAATGCTTCAGATGTTCAGGACAGGTGTTGAAACATTTCTATTGGAACTATTCTAAGTTGATTCGATAAATAAGGCTTCAGTTGTCCAAGTCTCTCTCTTCATCCTATTACATTAGATTCATCTTATCCTATACTACCGTATGGTTGTGTGTAAATGCACGTAGTGCTATAACTGAGTGTTTCTCCAGATTTCTTATTTTTATTAGGGTCTACTAGTCTACATTTCGCTAATGTTTTTGCTCTTTACTAATCTAATTGACGCCAGCCTACTTACTTTGGCCGTATGTATTTGACCTGACAATCCTTGCACAGGGTATTAAGCAAACTAAATTATTCTGTTTAATGGGCTCCACAGGATCTGTTAACTGGCATAAGTTATTTCTTATTGAGCTTGTGCGTTCAAATGCTGCTTTTCTTCCTGTTTTGTCAGGAACTCTATATAAGATTTAAAAGATTACTTCTTTGTATGGAAGCACTACTGGTATTGCAAATTTCTTATTCTATAGTTTGGTTTGTAAGGGTTAGTTTTGTTTTTACGAGTTAATCACGGATCGATATCAGTTAGAGAGCCATTGAAAACCTGGGAGTACTGGACAGCCAGCTGTTTCATCCTAGTTTGGGAATCATCGGAAGTACGCACCCACCACAGGGGTTCGAAACCAGTACCTTCTGGTTAAAAGGCAAGCTGGCTCGTATACCATTCAGCCACTGAGACCCGATTCAATGGCCAGTCCATGAATTCTAACTTCTACCAATTCGTGATTTAGCTCGACCACCAACCAGTGTCGTCAGTGGGACATCCATCCTCACACTTGACATCTAGATGGACCTCACTGGTCACAACTTCTCACCAGTACTCCCTGGTTTTCAATGGTTCTCTAACTGATATCAATCAGTGATCAACTCGTAAAAATTTCTTATTCCTGGTGTTTGTCATTTAAGTTTTATTTATTTATTTTATTCTTACAATTTTCCACATACTTTTCAATCGATTTATTGGGGCAATTATTAAGTATCAAAGCTTCGCTTACAAGTCTCACTTTTTGCTGTAGATTTTCTTCGGCACTATTTACCTTATTACTTAAACATTTCACTAATCCTGTTTTCACTGACATGAAACAGGATGAATCAAAACCCAAATATCAGTTTAAATGTGTGTGTTTTTGGTAAATACTAGTGTACAACTCCCCACCTATTTTTCCTTTTTATAACGCAATTCAACATTGGAATCTCCATTTCAGAATTTTCAAACTCAAAAGTCAAACGAATTACATCTATCGTTGAGTTAATGTATTCGAAAGACCAACTGATATTCTGTGTTTTTAATACCATGAGTATGCCATCCATATACCTTCATCACACCACAATATCGCGATGGGGATCGACGTTTTAACCGATAACCTTTCCTACCTATCTAAACATAGATCTGTCACTATTGGGCATATCGGTGACCCCATGGCAACAATCTCAGTTAGTGTGTATATTGTTTCCATCGGAACTTAAATACTGTCAACGTCAGGTATAGACACACTCGTGGCGTGACGGGAATCCGGTAAAAAGTGCTGTTTCACGTGGATATATCCAATTCGAAAAATTAAATTAATGATTTAAAAAAAATATAGGAATCGGGATAAATTCGGCAGAAAACTCTTGGAAACCATTGAAATCTAATTTAAAAAACTGGAAATATAAAGAATATACTCCACAGTAGTCTAGACTGAATACATTATACAGTCAAAAGTTATGAACACATTCAGAACGCTAATAAAAGGAGAGTGAAGACGACAGTGACCATTTTTTTGAAATAATAGAGAAAATTAGTAGTTCATGTAGTTGATTTTGATGTAGTTGTATACTCTGAGCAGGATGGTTTAATTACGATGCCCCCGGTCTAAGAATATAAACCATGAGAAGCCAAGACATGTATCCTTTCATATGGAAATACCAAAAAAATGCCTAGGAATTTCTAGTAGCCTGATATACACAGACGAATCAGCGATTGTTTAGCAAACACATTATCAAGCAGATCAAATTTATCAAAATTAATCAAGAATAAATCAATCACATGACAAAAGAAAAGTCAAATACTAAATCAATCAAAACGATCAATAAAAATAAAAATTTTAATTAACAACCAATCATGCACGGAAAAGGGTTTTCAGAAAATACAACCACTAAATCACATTCATGAAGAATTCAAATGAGTTCACTTCACATTGAAGTCTCCGTTGAAGATGTTGTCTAGATGGGGCTAGGGGGTGGGGACAATTAAACCAGCTGGCTAAGAAGAGAACGTAACTACATAAAAATGTGTCAACTTATTTGTATCACTATCAAACGCACACACACACACACACACACAACTAAAGACGAATTCGTCAGTTGTAAATTACACACAGTTCATAGTAGGGAATTCAATTTACAGTTTCTTTTGTAAACCACAAATATTCAGATTAGATTTATCTGATTGACGAAGTTTCAATGTAGAATTCCGCATAGAAGTGTAGCACTTTAAAATGCCATACACCATAGAAAAATAATTCAAATGAATTCTAATGGGTAATAATGGGTGTTAAGAAAATATACAACGAACGTGAAAACAAAAAGAGCACAGTTTACCTAGTCTTAAGATTGATTCAGAAAACTGGATACGCGATTTGATCGGTACCTAATTAATTGTTCGTGAGTATAAATCTTCTTATAGTTTGAATTTTATTAAGTGAGCCAAAAAAATTCT